GGGGGACGAGGGGCATTGGATTTGGCTGGGCGGTTAGGCAGCGCGAATGAAATTTGTAGGAGGCGTCGCCGACGCCGATTTCGGTCTCTTAGCCGTATACGGCATGCTGCGCGTCATCGGCGTCGGCGACGCCTCCTACAGGACGAAGTCTCAAGCCTCACGTCGGCGCGAGCTGACGCGGTGGGCCGGAGTGAGCCAGGTACTTCAAGGAGATCGCGTGCGACAAGGCGGGCAGGTCGCGTTCGAGGTCAGACAACAGCCTAGTGAGGGGGCGTGGGTTGTCGAGTTCGTACGCCTCGCAGATTTCGCGGATGTCGGCCATCCGCACGGTGTGCGAGAGGGCGAGCGCCAGCCGCTGCTCGGGCGGGGCGCCGGGGCCGCCGTCGTCCGCGCGGGGCAGCTTGCCGATGTGCCGTTCGAGCGTGTTGAGTTGGTAGGCGATGCTGCGGGGATTGGTTTCGTCGGTGACGAGCAAATCCAGCACCGGCGCCAGCTTGACGCTTGCGCGGTAGCGGGCGCGGTAGGTCATCAGGCTGTCGGCCGACTCCAAGAGCGCTTCGAGCAGGGCAGGGGAGACGTCGCGCGACTCGACGAGGCAAGTCCGCAAGAGGTCGATCGCTTGCATCGCGCGTTCGAGGCGCCGGCCGATGTCGAGGAAGCGGTAGAACTGCGTTCGCGTCATGCTCTCGACCACCATGCCGCCCAGCGCCGCAAGGTCGATGATCAGCTCGTTCGTCAGATTCAGCACGTCGGTGAGGTTGGCCCCGCCGGCGTCTTGGTTGCGGAAGTCCTCGTAGACCCGCAGCACAATCCGCCAGGTGTCGCGCGACAGCCGGTCACGCACCTTGGCGGCCGACGCGAACATACGGTCGACCGTCGCCGCCAGTGAGCTCGATTGTGTGTGGTTCAGCACCTCGCGCGGAAGCGCTAGCTCAACCATCGGCAACCGCTGACGCATCTCGGCCAGGGCGTAGCCAGGCTCGATCTGTCCTTTCTCCGCCAGTGCGCGGATCAGGGCGGGCAGCTCAGGAAAGTCCGCCGCGTTGCCTTCGCTACTCATCCGCGTCGCGACGATGCGCACCAGCCGCGCTGCGGCGTCGGCGCGTTCGAGCTGCCGGCCGAACCAGTAGCTGTTATCCGCCACACGGCTGGGGAGCTCGGAGCCGATCCGTACGAGTTCGATCGACTCGTGCTCGCCGGGGAGCAGGGTCACTACCTCGACCGGCTTGTCTCCTACGATCCAGACGTCCTTGCTCCCTTCACCCGTAAGCAGCGTCGCCTCCAGCGGCCCGGAGTCGATCGACGTCCGCGCCAGCGCGCCGGGCATCACGTGGTAATCGCCGTCACCCGCGACGACGAACGCCCGCAGCGCCACCCGCGCGGGCTGCACCTTCCCTTGACGATAGGTCGGCGACGCGGAGCGGTTCACTTGCTCCTGGGCGACGAAGTTGACCGGGTCGCTGCGGATCATCTTCACCAGCGCGTCACGCGGCGACTTGCGCAGCTTGTTGGTGAGCAACGACTCTTGGCCACGGCGCCGGAAGGCTGTCTTGAGGATCAGGGTGTCGAGGTTCTCGATGACGTACTCGAGCGCCTCGGGGTCGCCGCACCACCAAGTGGCGACGCCCGGCAGCTGGAGGTCTTCGCCCAACAGCTCTTGGCAAAGCCGTGGCAAGAAGGACATAAAGACCGGAGACTCGACCAGGCCGCTGCCGCAAGCGTTGGCGACCAGCAAGGCGCCGTCGCGTTCTGCCTGGACCAAGCCTGCTACGCCGACTGGGGACTCGCCCCCCAGTTCGAGCGGGTCGCATTGGTCGGTGCTGGGCCGCCGCACCAGCACGTCGATCGGCGCGAGGCCGTCGAGTGTTTTCATCCACAACTGGCGGCTGCGAACGGTGAGGTCCTCGCCTTCGACGAGTAGGTAGCCGAGGTAGCGAGCGAGGTAAGCGTCTTCGAAGTAATTGGGGTGCGCGGCGCCTTGGCTGAGGATCGCGATGGTCGGGTTCGTGCGCCCGGCGGGCGCCCAGCGACGCAATGTCGCTTGCAGTTGCAGGAAGAACGGCGCAAGACGCCGGACGCGGCGCTCGCGGAACGACTCGGCGAGCATCCGCGAAGTGACCAGCCGATTCTCGAGCGCAAAGCCGACGCCCGAGGGCGCTTCGGTCCGATCCGCCAAGACCCACCACTGGCCGTCCGGAGAGCGGCCGAGGTCCGCGGCGTAAAACAGCAAGTTCGGCGGCCGACCCCCTTTGGCCATCGGTGGGCGATGCAACGCCACACGGTAGCCCGGGTGCGAGTAGACCACCTCCGGNNGCAACAGGCCCGAGGTGATTAGCTGCTGGTCGCCGTAGAGGTCGGCGATCAGCAGCTCGAGCAGCGAAGCCCGCTGCGACAAGCCCTGCGAGATGGCGCCCCACTCGCTTTCGTGCAGCAGCAATGGTGAGGGGTCGAGCGCCCAGGGGCGGTAGCGTCCCTCGGCGTCGCCGTAGGCGCTGTAGACGATGCCGTTCTCGTTGATCAGCCGTTGCGACTGCGTCCAGCGGCGCAGCAGCTCGACTTCGCCGATCTGCGCGACCTGCGAGCGGAAGCCCTTCCAGGCGGGCCGTGAACGGCCCGTCTCGTCGAGCATCTCGTCGTAGACGCCGGCGATCGGCGCGTACTCAGCGAACAGCGATCCAGGCTCGGCGCTATTCGGAGTAGTGCTTGCCGGACCACCGAGAGACTGCGCCTGACTCTGCATCAATGCTTGCCGCGGCGGAGATCGAGCGTGAGCGGGAACTCGGGATTAGGACCGTCGTCCCTCATCATAGCTTTACCTGCCGTATGACCGAAAGCGAGGAATCGCGTCGCCCGACGGGTCTCGGCCTCCAGGGCGTTGACAGGGAACGTCTGCGGGTTGAGCCCGCCTGGATGGCCGACGTGATACTGGCAACCGCCGGCGGAGCGGTCCATCCACTCGTCCACGAGGTCGAACACCAACGGACCGTCTACCGGGATCGTCGGGTGCAGGCAGCTCGGCGGCTGCCACGCCCGGTAGCGGACGCCCGCGACGAATTCGCCCTGCACGCCGGTTGGGTGGAGCGGCACGCGGCGGCCGTTGCAGGTCAGCACGTAACGTGGGTCGGTCATGCCATTGACCTTCACCTGCATGCGTTCGACCGATGAATCCACGTAACGAGCCGTGCCGCCCGGGGCGCCTTCCTCGCCGAGGACGTACCAGGGTTCGATCGCCCGCCGCAGCTCGACGTTCACGCCGCGCTGAGTGAACTGACCAATGAACGGGTAGCGGAACTCAAGGTGCGGAGCAAACCAATCACGCTCCAGCGGGAAGCCCGCGGCGCGGGTCGCTTCGATGACGTCCTCGAAGTCCTGCCAAATGAAGTGAGGCAGCATCCACTTGTCGTGCAGCGAGGTGCCCCAGGAAACCAGCGGCTTTTCGTAGGGTGTCTCCCAGAACCGAGCGACCAACGCCCGCAGCAACAGTTGCTGTGTGAGGCTCATCCGCGCGTGCGGCGGCATCTCGAAGGCGCGGAACTCGAGCAGGCCGAGCCGGCCCGACGAGGTGTCGGGGGAGAATAGCTTGTCGATGCAGAACTCCGCGCGGTGGGTGTTGCCGGTGCCGTCGACAAGCAGGTGACGGAAAATCCGGTCAACCAACCACGGCGGCGTGTGCTCGCCCTTGCGGACCTGCTCGAAGGCGATCTTAAGTTCGTAGAGGTTGTCCGCCCGCGCCTCTTCAACGCGCGGCGCCTGGCTCGTCGGTCCAACGAACTTGCCGCTGAACAGGTACGACAGCGACGGGTGGTTGTTCCAGTAGCCAAGGAAGCTCTTCAAGAGGTCCGGGCGACGCAGCCAGGGGCTGTCCGCTGGCGTCGAGCCGCCAAGCACCACGTGGTTGCCGCCACCGGTGCCGGTGTGGGAGCCATCGAGGTCGAACTTCTCCGTCCCGAGGCGGCTCTCACGGGCGTCGTCGTAGACGCCGGTCGTGATCTCCACCAGTTCGTCCCAACTGTGGGCGGGGTGGACGTTGACCTCGATGACTCCTGGGTCTGGCGTCGCCTTGATATGCTTGAGGCGGCTGTCGTGCGGGGGCAGGTAGCCCTCAAGGACGACCGGCAGTTGCAGGTCCTCGGCGGTCTCCTCCACCGCGGCGATCAGGTCGAGGTACACGTCCAGCCGTTCGATAGGCGGCATGAAGATATGGAGCGTGCCGCCGCGCGGCTCGATGCACATCGCGGTGCGGATCAGGTTCGACGGGTCGTTGTAGTTGACGTCGGCTTTGTAGGGATCGAACCGCGAAGCGCTTCCTTCCGGCAAGGGATGTTGCGGTTGCGAACGATCGTGGCCGTGACCGTTGTCGCCATAGCCGTGGCCGGCGCCATTGGCGCCGTTGCCGTCATGGTGGCGTCCTTGGAACTGGAAGTCGTGGTGGCCGTAGTCTCCGCCACCGCCGCCGTACCCGTAGCCACCGCCGGCGACGCCGACGGGCACGGGCACCGCGCGCCGCAGACGCTCCCGCATCGGCAGCGGGCGCTCGGCGTCGAAGGGGTCGGCCTCGAGGAACGCCTTGGCGTGCGCCGGCCGGTCGTCGTAGACGAGCGATTGGATCGGCAATCGATAGCCCATCGGTGAGTCCCCCGGCAGCAGGAACATCTCCTCCGACCGCACGATCCACTTGCCGCTTCGCCAACGCGGCTGGAACTCCCACCAAGCGAACTGCAACG